CCGACGCGCCGTCACCCCCACGGGGACGCGCGCCCGCCCCCTGCCCGCGGCGCCCACGCGCCGTCACCCGCACGGGAACGCGCGCCCCTCCATCCGGACTGGGCGCCCCGCTCTAAAGCGGGCCAGGTGCCCCTGTCCCTCCAGCCGCGGAGCCCCCTCCCCTCCGCCTGCCCTGCCCTTCTTCCCGCCGCGGTCGCGCTAACCCCGAGCCCTTCTGGAGCCAGACAGAGTACAAGCAGACCAAACACGCCTGAACACCCTCCCCCGAGGTCTGCCCACGGCATCCGGCCCAGAAACAGCAGGCTCTCTCCCTTGTTTGACCGGCTCCCAGTGATTCTGTCCAGTGCTGTTCAGTCGAAGTAGTACTACTTTTTCCGTGCGGAATTCCCATTTTCTCTATCAAAAGAGTTGCATGTTGGCAGTTCGTGTGGTTCAACCCAGTGAGGGCAGGAGCAGCGATCACAGCTTCCTCTATCCGTGTTTCATACACCGTCCAAGGACAGAAGTTGGCTTCCGAATCTTGTCACTGTTACCTCAATTTATCTCTTCTCAGCCTGGGAGGTGGGCAAGGGCAGTGTCATGACCCCATTTCCCAGATGGGGCAGGAGGAGCTGCCGCAGTAAGCAGGGAGGCTCACCCGCCGTGTCCCCAGCTCTGCAGGCCAGCCCTGCTCTCTGATCTGGGACTGAGCCGAGGCCTCTGGCTTCCCTGGTGGGGAGGAGGTGTGCTGTGCTCAGGAGGGGTAGTGACTGAGCCCCTCCCTGCCTCAGCCCAGCGGCGGCCCCCTGAAGCTCAGCCCACACAAGCGGATGGATCATTCCAGTTAAATCCTCACGAGCACATTTCACATTTCAGATGACTGCAGTCATCTCCTCAGGACCTTCCTCATGGTTTTGCGTTTCGTTGTGGTCTCTCCGAGTAAATGTAGCTGACTTGTCACAAGCTCTGCCCCCCTCCCCCCATCCCCGAGCTGTCTTTGAATTGCCTGAATTGTAATTTGAATTTTTCCAGCATTTTGGAGAGTGGCATTTGTGAGCCTCTCACGCAGTCCCGGCTAGTCCCCAGACTGTGAAAGATACTCGGCTGCTTACCCGTCTGCCCGCTGTTCTCATTAACGTTCATCTCAGATGAAACCAGAACGAGCTGGAATGTGTTCTCTGAAATGAAGGGAGGTGGTTCGTTGCGGGACAAGGCAGCACACAGGTCCCGTGAGCCTCACAGCACACATGCCACATTTCTCTTCAGATGCTTTTCCCCGCATGAGAAGTTGGAGGGGCCAATGTGCTCTGACGGGAGCCGAGCGAAGGCCAGTATCACTATGCGGAAAGTGCTGGGGTTTCAGTTCAGCAGTCGGGACCCCAAAGCCTCTGCATGTCTCCTTCTCCCCACGTGGCCCAGGAAAGCTGCTTAACCTTGACGAGCTCCAGTGTCTCATCTGTATCACAGACTCAGGATGAAGCTTCCCAGAAGTGACACACGTATGCCAGTTACAGTTTTCTGCAGCGTTTTACAGAGCACGGGACCAGGAGAAGCTGGTCACGTTTACCTCACGTAACCAAAAAGACTAGAGATGGCAACACCGGTTTGATGGCTTAAAGATATCCAGGTTAGGGTCTCTGTCTTTCTCTTGACCGTTTCCTCACGGCCCCACAAGGCTGCTGCAGCGCCAACTATCACATCCGTTGTTAAGACAGGTTAACTGCAGCTGTGATCTGTCCCTTTTATCAGGAGAAACTACTGCTTGTATCTGTTTGGTCAGGACTGCGTCCCATGCACCCCTGGGGGGGCCGTGGTTCCAGCCGAGTCGGGTAGGATAGAAGGGGATAGTGGGTGTGGGGGGGATTAGCCAGCAAACCGCGTCTGCCACAGTAAACAAAGGAGCTGGAGGGGCGCCTGGGGGGCTCAGTCAGTTAAGCATCCGACTTGTGCTCAGGTCATGATCTCGCCGTTCGTGAGTGCAAGCGCCGCATCGGGCTCTGTGCTGACATCATGGAGCCTGGACCCTGCTTCAGGTTCTCTGTCTCCCCCTCTCTCTCTCTGCCCCTCCCCGACTCACACTCTGTGTCTCTCTCAAAAACAAACAAACACTAAAAAAAATTTTAATTAAAGGAACTGGAGCCCCACCTGACACGTGGTGTAGACTCAATAACTCATAAGCATTTTCATGCTCTCTCTTCAGGGTCTAGTGCTCAGGGTCCTCAACCGAGATGAATGCGCATTGGTTGGTTCACTAGAGCATTTTCTTTTCTTTCTTTTCTTTTTTTAAATGTTTTTATTTATTTCTAGGAGAGAGAGAGAGAGACAGCGTGAGCAGGGGAGGGTCAGAGAGAGAGGGGGTCACAGACTCTGAAACAGGCTCCAGGCTCCGAGCTGGCAGTCAGCACAGAGCCCGACGCGGGGCCCGAACCCACGAACGGTGAGATCATGGCCTAAGCGAAAGTCGGACGCTTAACCGACTAAGCCACCCAGACGCCCCTCACTGGAGCATTTTCTGACGTGGGGTCCAGGTCCAGAAAGTCTGCCGTCCAAGGAGGAGACAGGAGGGAGAAGGCGCCGCCGTGTCCTCTCCGGGCAACGACCCACTTAGGGCACGTGTCTTGTCCCGTGGAGAGGAAGCCTCGTTCACGTCTCCCCAGACAAACGCCGAAGTGAGCTGAGGCTTTGCGTCCTGTGCGTTTCGGGGTCATTACGTCCCTCCTCAAGGCTGAAGAAAACGATTTAAACGGGAGAAGGAAGACTCCAAACTAACTGTAAAAGCCATGGTTTCTGATAGCAGGAACCCTAGAACGTTCTTCATAGGAAGCCGGGGATTTGCAGAAGCCGGGAGTTACCCGGGACCACAGTCCAGTCCAGCGCCACGCGGTGCCGCCGTCCCCTTGGGGGCACCCCTTTATGGCCGGTGTGCGACGCCCTGCGGGGAGGGTCCCAGCATCGTCACTGTATTTGTCTCCATGTGAGGAGGACGGGAGACCTTCCCAGCCGGTTAGAGGGTGCAGGTGCCCCCTCCCCGGGCAGCCCCGTCCCATGCACGTCGCAGGGAGGCCTTGGTCCCGTCCGCCCGAGGCCCCCGGAGCACATGAAGCCTCCCCCTTCCCGGCTCTCGCGGCGCCTGAAGACGCTCATCTTTTCCAGGTTAAGCATCCCGGTTTCCTCGACCATTCTTCCGACCATTTGACTTCCAGAGCCTCCTGGAATGAGCCGCCCAATAATCCAGCAGCATAGCCGTGGGTGGCCCGCAGCCCGATGGTCCCTCCCCTGCCTCTGCCGATGGCTGCCCTGTTCCTGACACCCCGGCGCGCGGCTGTCAGGACGCCGCCCCCCTGCCCCCAGGCTCCTGCTTCCCAGTTCCCTGGCCGACTCCCCTTACCCTGTCAGCCGTGCAAATGAGGGGTCTGCCCCTGGGTCACGTGCAAGTCCCCCTCTGGAGCGCTTGAAGACCTTCCTCTGCTGCCGACAGCCTCCATTGCAGCACCACAGGCGTCACTGGCTCAAATCACAGGTGGCTCTTCAAGCCAGACCCTCTGCCTGCGTCTCCCGTCTTCATGGGTGTCACTTGCATCCAGCCAGCCGCCTCAGCCAGACCCCCGAGGGCCCCTCCGGGTGGGAAGACGGTATGTTGGCGCTTCTCCCTCTTCCACAGCCCGGTATGCTTCCTTACGGCCCTCCTCCGGCAGCTGTGAGCGCCCGTCTAGGCCTCCTGGGGGCCTCTCCCTTCCCGGCTGTGTGGCTCATCCTGCGCCCGCCTCAGCGGATCCCCCGTCTTCACTGTCCGGGCCATTCCGGGTGTCCCCCGTTGGACTCCGTCTCCTGCACTGCGGGCTCCGGTCCAGCCTCCAGCGTTCCACCAAAGGGATTCGCCTGCGACGCACATCTGTTCTGTTACTTGCCCCCTTCAAGCTCCAAAGCGACTCTCTACCGCTGCAGCATTAATTCTCCAGCGCTGCGAAACGCAGGGCCCGGGAATTCCCTGGACACTCCGCTGCGACGCAGCCTCCGCCGAAGCCTCAGGGGCCCACGGAGCTGCCTCCCCCAGCACACACCGGCACCCTCGGGAAAACCCAGGCAGCGGGCAAAGCTCAGATTGCCAGCAGGCCGCGGGAGGCCCGGCACCCCACCCCGCTGCGCGCTGTCCTGTGCTCGTGCGGTCCGCAGCCACTGTACGGAGCTGCTGGCGTCCCCACGCGTGCCCCTGCCCTTCCGTGGCTCCCCGCCCTGCCGATGCTCTGCCCTGTCTCCCTGTGCCCGACACGGAGCCGAGACGCTGTCTTGTGTCAGTGTTGTGGCCCCAGAACCCACCACACTGCCTGGCACTCGGTCCTCAGGAGGCGCCGTCGCTTGCGTGAACGAACACGAGTAAACTCTGTGCTGCCGGCCGCCCTCCTCTCTCTGAAGCTTTTATCTCCGTCCTCCCACACCTCACCCCAGGTAGACGCTGTACCCACTTTACATGCATCTGTTTCTAACATTTGTGTCGCTGGGGGGACTGGGAGCCCAGCACTGTGTCCCTGTACTAAGCACCGTGCTCAGCACGCTGTAGGTGCTTAGTGCAAGGTGGCTGCGCTAAGGGGACTGCTGGCGGTGCCGGCCGGGCCGTTAGGGCAGCCGCAGATTGCAGTAGGCCAGACTGTTTGCGCATGCTGGGTCTGCAGTTGGCTGAAAGCCCTTGAATCTTTCCCATATGAGCCAGGGCTGAGCCAGGGCTACCAGTTCTATTGCTTATATAGCATTTCCAGCTCTTAGTGGAGGCCCTTGAATTGAACCCTATCCAGTGCCATCTGACATAGTCAGCAGCCCGTCAAAGTCTTGTTGAGTCCTCACTCCACCCCCCACCTCACTAGAGGGCCCTCCCCCGCCACTCGAGCCGTCAGTAGATGAGTAAGCGTGCCACCAAGGTGTCACTTACGGTGATCGAACTCGGCTGAGCCAGAGTCACACGGCATAGGTGCCGAGAGATTCCTTCCCAGTTGACATCTGACAGTCAATGAACTTTGGTTAAAACCGTTCAGCCCTCTGGGAATTCACGCTAAGTGGCAGAGTCGTCCCCGTAGGAGGGTGTCTGCCTCTCTAGGGCAGGCAGGGAGCTGGGCTTCCCAGGAGGACACGGCGAGGCCACCTTTCGGCTTATGTGACCCAGACGCAGACTCCTTCCTGGTCTCTCTGCGAGGCCTCCTTGCTGGGGGTGCTGTTGGCTGGAGGACAGCCCGCTCCGAGCTCGCTCTGGATTTTTGCAGATTGTTGGAAGCGCTGGTGTCCTTTCTTGATTACTCAGATAAGAAGGCCAGCTCAGCTATGGGACTGCTCACAGACTTGGCTCTGGAAGAGAGGTAATTTTTATTTCCAGAAACTGACATGTCCTCTTCAACCTTCGTTAAACTGTCTGATCTTTAAAAATATGCAGTATGCAAGGAAGCTTGGCCAAGTGAATCCCAAGAGTCACTGAGTAGGAGGGCCGATGCCTTGCAAGCGGGCGTCTGTGGCTGGCCCGTCCAGTCCCCGCTGCCTGCAGGGGGCCCCCACAACTGGTGGGTCTGGGAGCAGTGCCTCACAGTTTACAGACCTACTATCAGTTGGAGAAGCTCCTTTCCCTACATCGGTGCCCAGGAGGAACTGCCCACCAAATGTGTTGAATGAGGGTGAGAGACAATGCCCAATAGAAGCCGCCTCCCTTCGGGTTCTCAGTGGCATTATGGGTAACCCATAGGAAACCCTAACTTCCACTTAGCTACCGGGGAAGACACTAAAGGTCTTCGATTTTCATATTTCTTGAGGGTTTTTTAAAGTGCATCTTTGGTTTGTTTAAGTTGCACAAACTTAAGGCTGTCTTGCTTAGACACAGTCATGTGATGAGAAAGAGCTCTCTGTGCCCATAGACAGGCCGTAGCACGGCTGGGAACCTGTCATAGCCGCTCTCGAAGGTGCAGATGTGTGTGCATCTGGGCCCTCCTCACGCCTGCTCTGTGTTTCCCATTTGCACGGCACACAGCACACAGAGCCAGGGGAGGGCAGGGCTGGTGGTGAGTGAGCTTGGCGGAAATCGAGGGATTCCAGCATTAACCTCCGCGTTAAAAACGTTGCCATCTGACATCTGTTATTTAACATCAGAGGCAATTCTCCAGACTTAGAAACAATTAAAGCCACGTTACATACCCAGTGACATTTTGTGGGGGGGGTTCAAAATAAACCGTCCATGCTCACTGCGAATCACAAGGGCCGAGCCTGTGGCAGTCTGCTCCATTATCCATGTCATGATATTTCTGTTCTAGTTTGTGCGGGGTAGAACTAAATCGTGGGGACATTTTCTCCGCAGATTCCGAGTCTGGTTCCAGGCCAACCTCCCAGGTGTGCTCCCGGCACTCACAGGTGTTCTGGTGAGCAGAGCCGTTTAAACACAGTGTACACTCCAGAACTCCTGTCGTCTCTCGGGTTGATTAATCATTTCTTCACAGCTGGAATTGACACAATTCTCAGTTATTAAAACAAGTGCAGTTGCGACAGGTGGGGAGGGCATACGGAGGGGACTCGGGTGTGGGGGAGAAGATGGGTGTGGACCGTGTCTTAGGTGGAGGCGGAGAGAGGGTGTCAGCTGTGGTCAGTCCATCCCTTTCTGGGCCCCAAGTCCCGTCAGAAGTACTGCGGGCAGCCGTGTCCCTCAGTCATGTCCATCAGGAGGGCGAGTGGTGATGTGAGCTCATGAAGCAGGACATAGCAAGGTGGGGGCCTCCCGGGACAGCATGCTATGACTGGACCCTGTCCCAGGGGAGCCATAGAAGTCTCAAGGGACCTGAGAGCAGGCCCCCACGCCCGTACTCCACACACGTGGAAATGCAAGCTCTGGGAAGGGACGACACTTGCCCAAGGCCCCGCATCAGGCTGGTAGAGTCACTGAGACGAAGCCCCAGGCCATCCCAGGCGAGGGCGCTTTGGGGCCCACCCCCTGCGTGCCTCCATCCCGGTGCCAGGTGGTCCCGTTGGTGCCCCTGGGTGACACTGCACAGTCTGCTTCCTGGGCGTCCTGCTGAGTGAGGCACGCCCCTAGAGATTGCTCTGGCATCAGTAGCCTGCCCTCTGCAGACCTCCTTTCTCCCGGCTCACTTTTAGAGGCGAGATCCTATGGTAACCAACACGTCAGCCCTTTGCCAGTGCATCGCCCTCATGGGAAACCTCAGTGCTGAGGCCACCGTCCGAAGACAGATGTCTGCCTCTGAAGAGTTTGGGGATGCCTGCCTGGGCCTCATGGTACTGTGACTCTTCCATTCAGAATTCAGTCCTTTACCTGCGTTGGGAGTGGTGGCTTCTTGATTATCCGGCTTTTCCAAAAGTTCTCTCTGAGGGTACTGGAGCCAGTGGCTTACCCCTTCTGTAATGATAGATTTTTATGGGTGGCCGGCCTTAAAGAGCCCTCCAGGGCAAGCCCCATCCACCCTGGAGAGGTTTGGAGGATTTTCCAGTGGAGTTGGCTTGACCACCCACGTCCACAGCTCACTCTCCAGTTTACACACAGGATCGGGCCAGAGTCTCATGGCTCAGGCACCAGACACTCCTTGCCAGTCTCCTCCACTAACACTGATCCTCAGAACTGGTCTCCGATCTTCCAACATCCCCTGGGGTTGCAACATTGACAGTTTGGGGAGCGTGAGTAACGCTAAGATCGTTGCCAAGGGGATGAGATGGCCGTGAAAAGCTGCAGGACAGAAAGGTCACGGATCCCTTTGCTTTGTTTCCCCAGGCCAAGTGTGAGGAGGCCATGGACCTGTTGAGAGAGGTCCTGTACGCGCTCCTGGGACTCGTGATGAACCTGTGTCTGCAGCCTCCCTTCCTCGGTGAGGTGCGCCAGTCTTCCTCCCTGGGAGCCCCGCCCGTGCCATTGCCAGGACCGCTCTCCGTTCACCGGGTAGAAGCAGGGGACTCACACCCTGGGAGGGGGCGGGAGCGGGGAGAGCGGGACAGACGCTGTGTCACTGTGCCGCTCCGAGGGACGGAGGAGTCCGGTGTCCGTCCAGAAAGTGGACTGAGCACGGTGCTAGGTTCTGCCTTTCCAGCGTCGAGTAAGACGTGGCCCCTGCCCTCAAAGGCACTGCCCTGTAGTTAGGGAGGCAGATCGGCCGTGGGAAGAGGCAGGGGCGATGGAGGAAAGGACAGAGTGTGGCGGTGCCGGAGAGGGCGAGGCCAGTGCTGCTGGCTCAGAAGGAGCTGCGTGGAGGATTCGGATTAGCAGGCCACGCAGACCGCCTCCTCTCTCCCCGCTGCGGCAGGTTTGGGCCATGGAGGTGAGCAGGAGGTGCACACGTCTACTCCGCAGCCAGGACGGAGGGGTCCTGACAGTAAGTGTCTCCCGGGGGATCCAGAAACGGCCTCCTGGGCTGTTCCGGGGGAGGGGGGAGGGGGTGACCCCCCGCCCAGTGCCCGCCTGTGGCCCCCCGGGAGTCCGTGGACCCAAGTCGAGGATCTCTTTTCCGTATGGGTTGCAACTTGACAGCTTCTACGGTGTAATTTCTCCGACTTGTCCTGTTCCAGGACATCCTGGTGCAAATCGGACAGGCCACGAGGTCTCTCTTAGAGTCTCTTTTTCCGTAGCCCAGAAAGCCAGAGCCGCAGTTTGAAGCCCATGATCCCGGAGGCTGTTGATGTGTAATGGTTGTAGCGCCCCTGGACGTGCGTGCTGGGGTGGCTTTCATATTTCTGCTTCTGACATTTGGACAAGAGAGCTGAGAGAGACCTGCGGTTAACACAGAGCATCGGGGGACGTCACTAGGGTGTTTGCTGTCATCCTAGGACGTGTGTATGCACAGAAGTAACCCCCCTCCCCCAAGCTTCTCCACCTATTAGGTCTGGGCCCCAGTGCCCAGAGGGACGCCTGGGGCACATCCAGCAGGTGTGGGAAACCAGCACAGACTCGGGACTGGGTCCAGGATCGCGGCAAACGTCGTGAGCAGACACGACGAACCCTGTGTGGGACTAGGCTGCCTGCGCCTTCCCCAAAGTCAGTTCAGAGAGGGTAGGGTGGAGGGTTTTCAAGCGGACTCCGGGAGTGCATGGTAAGTCTCCGGGGTCCCCGGAACCCCCTGAAATTGTAGACAGTTTTGGGGGCATGTGCATTTTCATGGAGACGCATCATGCCTTCCATAGATCTTCAAAAAAAAGATCCTTCACCCCAGAAGTGGCGAGCACCGCTATTAGTTGGGTGTTTTGGAACTGTTCAGACCAGAGCTAGCGAGCCAACCCGTCAAGGCCTCTCCTGGCCGGATGTTCCCGGGACTCTCAGCCTGTGCCTCTCAGGTGCTGATCCACCAGCTTGTTGGCCAGAGCAGCACCCTCACCAGGGCCATCTGGCCTCTCGGTAGCGGGCTCTCCCCACTGTTTGGGGCTTAACAAGAGATCTGTGGTGTCAACTGTGATAACAATCTAGTACCTGTAGGGAGCAGATGCGGGAAACGAGACTGATAATATGGTAATACCCATATTTATCCCTTCTCCCCAGGGAAACCTCATTAAAATCAGACTGAAAGCATTAGGGAAGGAAAAAAAAAAAGTAGAAACCCAGATTGACAAAATAAACAGGCTAGAGGTCACCAGTCGGTTTTTTAATAATTTTAACCCGAATCTGGAAGATGAAGAACAGCTACAAAAGTCATAATTAGTGAGGCAGGGCTGAAGGAACCTCAGTGCAGAGAACAGATACAAGGGACACAGATTTGCCCTGTAGGACCCTGGAAAGGGTCGAGACTGCAGAACACCAGGTGCAACGGAGGCCACAAGTAAGAGACGGGGGACCCCATGTGGCAACCAGGTGTGTCTGTCCCTCGGGTGGAAAGTCAGAGCTTTCTTTCTCTAAGGGCATTGAAAGATCGGAGAAAAACGTTTTGCAGTCTAGTATTTGGGAGTGTGACCTCTCCACCTGTCAGTCGATGAACTCCCCATAAACATGGCACACCCAAACATATTTTTATTGCTTTTTCATGAATGTGCCCATAAACGGGCAGCTAAGGGTCACGGGACATTTCAGGGAAGCCATGCACAGGAATAGAAAAACCAAGCTAAACAGATAAAAAGAAAACCCAAAGAAATAGAGATGATATAGGAAACAGAAGAAAAAGTTGTGTCCTGCGAAAGATTCAAGATAGTGTTATATCTGTAAAACCGTGAGAGCTAGCTGTTTATTAAAAAGCAAAGTGGAAGTAGAAAAATCATAAGTGGTGTCTGCCAGGAAACAGAACAGATTCGGACAAGATGAAGGACAAGCTAAGTATCCAAAATCTATAAGGAACTCACCAAACTCCACACCTGAAAAACAAATAATCCAGTGAAGAAATGGGCAGAAGATATGAACAGACACTTCTCCAAAGAGGACATCCAGATGGCCAACAGACACATGAAACGATGCTCAGCGTCCCTCCTCATCAGGGAAATATAAATCAACACCACACTGAGATACCACCTAATGCCAGTCAGAGTGGCTAAAGTGAACAAATCAGAGAACTCTAGATGCTGGCGAGGATGTGGAGAAACGGGCACCTTCCTACACTGTTGGTGGGAATGTAAACTGGTGCAGCCCCTCTGGAAAACTGTGTAGGTTCCTCAAAAAGTTAACACAAGAACTCCCCTAGGACCCAGCAATAGCACTGCTAGGAATTTACCCAAGGGACACAGGAGTGCTGATGCATAGGGGCACATGGACCCGTGTTCATAGCAGCACTCTCCACAATAGCTAAAACATGGAAAGAGCCTAAGTGTCCATCAACGGACGAATGGATCAAGAAGATGTGGTTTATCTATACCATGGAATACTACATGGCAATGAGAAACAGTGAAATCTGGCCATGTGTAGCCATATGGATGGACCTTGAGAGTGTTATGCTGAGTGAAATACGTCAGGCAGAGAAGGACAGATATATGTTTTCACTTATAAGTGGAACAGGAGAAACTTAACAGAGGACCATGGGGGAGAAGAAGGGGAAAAATAGTTAAGGAGAGGGAGGGAAGCAAACCATGAGAGACTCTTGAATGCTGAGAACAAACTGAGGACTGATGGGGAGATCGGGGAGATGGGCATGGAGGAGGGCACTTGTGGGGAGGAGCACTGGGTGTTATATGGAAACCAACTTGACAATAAACTATAAAAGAAAAAAAAAAAAAAGGATGAAGGACCCTGAGGATCTGTCCAGAAAGTCTGCTGTCCCGTAACGACCCTGCTACTCCCGGAGCGCCGCAGGATGTCAGGGCAGGGCCGTCTGTGCCCGAGCTGACCTGCTCGGTTCCCTGTCGAGCTGAAAGGAATGGGGCCCCTGTGTGCCAAGGGCCCCGTGTCCAGCCCTTGGCCACCTGCTCCGCACCTGTACACTGAGCTCTGCTCACTGCCTCCTGCCTGGCCGCTTGAACTTGTAAAACCAAGGTGCACGTGTGGCGGCCCACACTAGCGATGGTTCTCGCCTCACTGAACTGCTTGCTGACTTTTAAAGGTCATCAGCATTTCCGAACAGAGCGTCTAATGATCTTTCTTTCTGTTTCGCGCAGAGAGCCGCGGGCGTTCTCAGCCGCACGCTGTCCTCCTCTCGGACGATTACTGAGGAGGCCCTGCGAGCGGGAGTGGTGAGGAAGATGATGAAGTTCCTGAAGGTAGAGCAGCCTCCTGACTTAGCGCCGCTCGCATGTCCAGGGGCGGCCCCAGTTATTTGGGGAACAGAGCTAAGGAGGGCTGCCTTGTCACCCCTGCCCGTGGGGAAACTTCTTGAATGAGGATTCCTTCTGCCTGTCACCCAGACGGTACTCTGAACGTCACCGGAAGATTGCTGAACAAATCCGTAAATTGTTCATTAGAGGCTGGCCACTCGAGCCTCCCTTAAAAATGGACAGCCCCTGTCCCCAAAAAAGATGGCCAGAGTGGCTTTCGGCAAGGCCCCCCCAGCCCTTGTGTTGCTCTGCCGGCCACGCCTCCCCCGGCTGCTGGAGAATGCTGGCCGGAGCCCCACTAGGAGGCGGCAGGGAGGGTGCAGCGCTAGCCTGTGACAGAGCAGGGCTCCCGTGCAGCAGCGGACTCTCCGAAAGGACCAGGCGACCGACGAGGCCGCCACCTGCGGCTGCTGCGCCTGCTGTGCGTGCCCGGGGAGGGCCCCACACTGTTAGGCGGATAAAGGCCCAGGCTGAGCCGGCCAGGAGGCAGGCCCCCCCCGGGGGGCCGCTGCTGAGGCGGGGGCAGCACTGAGGGAAGGGATGGTGGGTGAGCATCCAGGCTGCCGCGTGGACTCACCCCCCAAGTCGTGCACACCCGCCGGAGCCCGCTGATGGCGTGCACGCACATGTGCATTGCACTCATATACGTGCACGTGTGCCGCTTGAAGACACTGCGGTGGGTGATTTTGAGGGTTATGAGTTGACGGTTGTCACCTCTTAAAATGATCTGGATTTGTGATGTTCTCCATGCAGGCCTGTCAGCCTGACAGCCTTAGCGAGTCACTCCCCATTCTCCAGGGGCGAGGTGACACGGTGGGGGGGCTCTTCCTCACCCTCTGGCAGACCTGCTAGTCAGCCGCATCGGGCCTTCCTCAGCCACTCACTCATAAAGCCTGCTCCAGGCAATTACCCGGGCGCACGTGACAGGCCCGCATTCCTGCTGGGCTGTGGGCTGGGTGCTGAGGACGGGCATGACACGAGCCTGCAGGGACCGGGCCTGCTCTCCGGGAAGCGCACGCCAGTCTCAGGGGAACTGTGTTTTGCAAGTTTAGGAAGCCGCTGACGCAGGCGAGGCTGCTCGCTGGTTTGCGGCCAGGCACACTCAGAGGGGTGACTGTATGTTTCTCATTTCATTCGGAAACCCAGACGGGAGGCCAGACCGCCTCACGGTATGCCGCAAAGGCACTAGCTGTCTGCACCAACAGCCACCACGAGGCACGGCAAGAAGTGATAAGACTGGATCAAAGTAAGTGAGAGTTTCCCGGATCCCAGAGGCCAGTCCTGCCTGCAGCTGCCCAGGGAGCTGGGGCAAGGGGTGGGCAGAGCCCTGTTAACCTCTCCCTGGACTTTGCACTGTTTACTAGGATTATCTGTTTCACCCCCTTCTGGAAGCATCTAACTAGCCCTCAGCTGCGCACAGGTAGCACGGCCGTGCTGGAGCCCCTGTCATGAAGCAGCCCAAAGATAACAGGGTCGAGGCCGGCCACCGCCTCTCCCCTAGTAAACTGAAGTCCGTCCGTCCGTCCTTCCTTCCTTCCTTCCTTCCTTCCTTCCTTCCTTCCTTCCTTCCTTCCTTCCTCTTTCTTATTAATATTTTAACATTTATTTTTGAGAGAGAGCGAGAGCACAAGCAGGGGAGGGGCAGAGAGAGAGGGAGACACAGAATCTGAAGCAGGCTCCAGGCTCTGAGCTAGCTGTCAGCACAGAGCCTGACGCAGGGCTCAAACCCACAAACTTTGAGATCCTGACCTGAGCCAAAGTCAGTGGCTTAACCGGCGGAGCCACCCAGGCGCCCCTAACATATTCTGCTCCGGCTGTTCGGACACGAGTACTCTCCCTTCACGGAGGGACCCACCTGCATGGTTAGTGAGCGGGGCAGGCGGCAGCGTCCGAGGCAGTGTCGGTCTAGTACCAAACGTGGCCGCAGCCCTGTGCAGCGGGCGCCCCCAGCGAGGCAGCCGCTGATGCTCTCCTTCACACATCCTCTGGCCTGAAAGCGGCAGCCTTCTGCTCCTGCTCCCCGCCCTGCAGCCACAGGGAGCAGCCCCGGGCCCCCTCCTCGGGGCCCTCATGTGGAGTGCAGGGGCTCGGGACGGTGACTTTAGGGAAGGCAGACCTGTGCGTTCAGTCCCACAACAACTGTGTCATGCTGGGCACTGCCCTGGGCACCTGAGAAGCATCCAGAAGCTGAGGAGGTCCACAGCGTCCAGCAAGTGCTTGCCGAGTGGCCGAGTGACGTGTCAGGGCCTTGGGAGGCTCGGTGTCACAGCACTCGGGGCGCTCCCCGTGTCCCTTGCTGTTCGGGATTCTGAAGGACAGATGCTGATACTCCCCCCTCCGCTAGAGTTTGGCATCCTGATGAGTCTGCTCAGCTCGGAGGATGAGATCGTAGTGGCCAACGCCGCCCTCTGCCTGGGGAACTGCATGGAGGTGCCCCGCGCCGCGTCTTCCCTGCTGAAGACGGACGTGGTGCAACTGTTGCTGCGGCACGCAGGCGGCGACGCGCAGAGGACGGCCGTGCAGCTGAACGCGGGCATCGCGCTGGGCAAGCTGTGCACGGCCGAGCCCAGGTACGTGGCGGCTCCCGGCGGGGTGGCCTGCGTCCGTCACATCCCGGGAGACGCGGGCCAGCACGGCGCCGTGCGGTGGCCAGGCCTCTGTGCCGCCCAGAAGTGCGTGAGGAGCCCTGGGAGCCCTGGGGCTGCCTGTGCAGCAGGCGTTGGGCCCAGTGGCTGCTTCCCTGAGGGACCTGGGGCTCCCGGGGCCCCCAGTCCCCGACGGGCCTCTGGTCGTGCAGTCACGGCCATCCTCTCCCCCATTCCATCCCCCCTTCTCTTCTTGCCGCTCTGTCCACGCATCCCTGCTCCTTCACTTTCTCACCCATGGTCTGAGCATATGGGACAGTGCGCATCAAGGGCAACGTTCCCGTGCTGGAGGAAACGGAAGCGAGAACAGCGTGTTTAAGACAAGCCAGGGCAGGAGATCGTTGCTCTGCCTGTGTGCGTCGCTTCTCCTGTAGCTCAGGCTTCTGTTCTGCTCTGGCCGGGCTCTGTGTGCTGAAACGCCTAGTCATCGGGCCCTCGAAGGTGCCCCTAGGTCTGAGGGTCAGAGTCCCGGCATGGCCATGGGGGGGGGGGGGGGGGGGGGGGGACAGGGGTCTTCCATGGACAGGGAGCAGCGCTGGCTCCTTCTCTTCCAGACTAAGCCCTCTGATTCCTCCCCAGAGAACGGGAGGGCCGGCTGGGATCACACCTGAGGTCCTTTCAGGTTCCGTCTGACAGTTCAGATGGAAGGCACGGATAAAATCTTGCTTGTACAGAAAGCAAGTCACGTTAGCTGGGAGGAGCTCAAAGTGGGAACCTCCTGGGGAGACCCCGAGAGCAAGGCCCCCTCGGGTCAGCCTGTCCATCCGCTGCGCATGGCAGAGTTTACTGTGTTTCATGCACCTCCCTGAGCACCTTACCTGCGTTGATGGCCTGGGCTCCCAGGGCCACGGCTGCTCCCCCTTCTGCCTCGCCAGCCAGCTTCTACCTGAGAGGGGGCGGCTCCAGGGCCCTGGCACTGATGTCCTGAACTTTGTGTTCTGAACATGGCAGATTTGTCGCCCAGCTGAGAGAGCTGCACGGGATAGAGATTCTCAGCTCCACCATGAAGTACGTGGCTGATCCTTGAGACACGTGGCATCTCTGCACCTTCTCAGCAACACGGCACCGTGGGCTGCCGCTGGGTCCCGTGCTAATAAAGAGCGTTTGAACGGCCGGCGCAGAGCTGAGCGTTGCTTGCCGTAGGTTCGCACTGGAAATGAGGAGAGGGCGTCAGGCCGGCCGCGCTGTGGGGACCCCTGGCTTCCGTCACACTTTCCTTCTCCCGTCCCCTCCTGCCCTGCAGGGGCAGCACGCCGGCAAATGAAGAGCCACATTTCCCCTTGTAAGCAATGTTTCTAGCCAGGAACTAGATTCTTCCCGCCCTGTTGGCCGTTTCTGCTGGTAACATGCAAGAAACCTCAAGTTTTCCGACAGCGGCTCTCAGCGTCCGTCTTGCGGCTCCAGAGCGCCCAGCGGCAGCAGCAGGGACAGCTTCCTCGGGCCTAGCCTGCTGCTGCGCCGTGTGCTCTAGGGCTCAGCGGGTCGTGTGGCAGGTGCAGGCTCCCCGGCGGGGGGTTCTCTGCCATGCAGGGAGTCCTTCCTGGAGGCACTGCCTGCTGCCCCAGTCCAGCCCATCCGCGGATGTGTCCTATTCCATGTGTCATGTGGTTTTCTGCCAATAATGTGCCCTGAACTCGCATAAACATTGACCTACTTATTCCCTGAGCCCACCGTGCCCTCTCACCCCATCCCCAAAACGCACTGCACCCTAGAGCAGCGGCCCCCTCTGGACCTCAAGTCCCTAAGCGAAGAGCCCAGTGGGTGACAGTACCCTTTGGCTTCTCAGCACAGTCACATGACCTTCTCAGGGCAGACAGCAGGCCCCTCATGGCACAGCAAACGCCAGGAGTGTCAGACCGGAGTTCCCAAAACTTAGGGTCCTTCCCCACTTCCTGGCCGCTGCGTGACTCTGGGCAAGTCGCTTAACCTCTCTGAGCATCGCTGCTTCTGGAGAAGTTAGAATAATGGCTGTCCAACCTGTCACCTCTGTTGCTGTCAAGCCTAAATGAAGTTCTGGAGCTGAAGGCACACTGAGAATTACAAAGGGCTCCACGGGTGGATCACCAGGCTGGGCCTTGACGTTGAGGGGATTGACTGTGGCATCAGCTGGATTAACCCGAGGGCCCAAGCCAGAGTAAAGCCCATGTCCCTTAAGGAATCAGAGCTGCACATTTTCCAGGCCATGTAGGAAAGGAAATCTGCCCCCTCCTCGGAGTTTTTATTCAACGCACCCCAAGAAATGATTCCTCACAAGCGAGGTAGCCCCGGGCGTGAATTAAGAACTCTGTGCTGCAGGGGCCGGAGCGAGCCCGCTGGAGCACTGGGACGGGGCCACAGCGCTGTCCCCGGGGGCATGTGACGAGCCACTGCAGGGAGGCCAGGACCTGCCCACCCGGTCCCTCAGGCAAACAAACACACTGGAGAGGCCACTGGATTGCAAAGGGCAGGGAGTCTGCGTGCTGCTAACTAAGCAGAGCACAGAGAAGACACAGAGGCCGCCACGCGCTATTTTCAGAGAGAATGCGGCCGAGCTTTATCAGTAGGCAAGGCTGCCTGCGTGTACAGCCAGCAGGCTCCTCTCGCGAGTCCAAGTTCAGGCCCCTCCGCCCCTCTGGCTGCACTCCTTCGGGGCTCTTGAAGATGGCTGCTATACGTGCAATCTCTTCCCCAGAGTACAGATGTCATGTTATTCTCTCGGCTTCGGAGTGCGGAGCAGTCGTCGGCCCCGCTTCGGGGAGGGTCTGGCTGGCCCTCAGGAGCTCCCTCCTCTAGAGGGTGGAGAGACGTGTTTTCCACAGCCACATTCATCGCCGGGGCGAGCCAGCCCTCCCTAACCTTGGCACCTCCGCACACGTCACTGTGCCGGGCTCCCGGGTGGCGTGAGAAAAACCGCGGCTCGCGCTGTCCCTCCCAGTCTCTGGGCCACGGCTTGTTCGGGGAAAGCCGGCCGCTGCTTCCACGGGCTCAGGGGTTGGGATTGTCCATCCCGAAGAGAATGTGACCGGGACCCACATGGAACAGAATGACCACCCCGAGGCCGCAACAGGGGTGTCAGGTAACAGATGGCAAACAGCTGTCCTAGGCAATGTGACGGCCGTGGTCCTAGAGGTCAGCAAGGCAGGTCTGAGGTTAAATGTTGGGCGGATGGGGGCGCCCGGGTGGCTCAGTCGGTTCAGTGTCCGACTTCCGCCCGGGTCACAATCTCACAGTTGGTGGGTTCAAGTCCCGCATCGGGCTCTGTGCTGACAGCTCAGAACATGGAGCCCGTTTCAGATTCTGTATCTCGCTCTCTCTCTGACTCTCCCCTGCTCACGCTCTCTCTCTCTAGGAAATAAAACATTTTTTTTAAAATGTGGGGAGGATGTAGTAGGAAGGGGCAGGACATGCCTCTGTAAGCACATTCCCGAGGGTCTGTTAACAAGAACACCCTGGCTTGGAGAGCCAGGTGGCATCCATCCTATTTTCTAAATGCCTTCAGATAGGGGCTCTTCAGAGGGCCCGGTCAGAGGAGAGAGTCATTGCAGGTGAGGAAAGCATTTACAGTTCACTCCCCTTCTGCTTTTGAGAGACTCTTCCTTTCATTTTTTTTTTCCTAATTTATTTTTTTGAGAGGCAGAGAGCATGAACAGGAAAGGGGCAGAGAGAGAGGGAGACACGGAATCCAAAGCAGTCTCCAGGCACAGAGCCTGACGCAGGGCTCGAACCCACAAACCATGAGATCATGACCTGAGCGAAAGTGAGACATTTAACCGACTGAGTCACGCAGGGGCCTTGCCGTAGGAGAGACTCGGTTCCCCTAGGCCAGTGACCTGCAGGCCCTCAGAGAGTGACTTGTGCCCATGCACTGAGCGTTTGCTCTGTGCACAGCCCTGTGACAGGTGCCTAAATATCTTGCCCACAGAGACCCTGTGAGGCAGGTAAAGAAACTAAGACATAAAGACAGTAAGTACTTCTCACCGAGAATCACATGGCTGGTAAGTAGGGGAGTCAGAATTTCACCCCAGCCTGGGTTTTTACTCTCTCTGGATGCAAACATTCCTCTACTTACTAAACATAGCTTGGGGGAAAACCTTCTAGTTTATCCAAGCCTCAGTTTCCACGCCATAAAATGGGAGCAGCAGTCCCTACTTAAAGCATTCCTGGGTTTGAGTATAACAATCATGAAGTCCCTGGCATAGGCGACTGGAAAATAGAAGTCTTACTATTTAGGTGACTATTTTTAGGCTAGAAATTACCACAAGCTCATTATCTGCCTTCTCCCACCCTCACCAAAATCTGCTCATCCCCCAGGCAGCCCGTCTCCATGAAGGTGACTTACGGCTGCCTTTCCCTCTCTCCTGTGCCCACTGGCAGACGTGAGGGTCCCCCCACCCCCAGACCCAGCCGTGGACCTGCCTTCTAATAGGCATCGCGGCCAGGTGGCCTGGGCGGCGGGGGCCCTGAGCAGGGCTCACGGGCGGTGTGGCCGTGCTTCCTGCCAGGGACCTGGGGCCAGGGCCTGCGGGGCGGGGGAGCCAGGCCGCCCCTACATCGGCCGCTCCCTGACACGGGCTCACCTTACAGACGCTCCCGGTGTTTGTCCTCAGCTCAGGATCAGGAAAGCCTGTTGATTCCAGGGACACGATGCTCATTCATCAGGATACTGCCAGAGGCTGCAGGTCCCCTGATGGTCACCCCCAGCAACCCGCTCCCTCTCCCCCTCCTGCTGTGGCCTTGCACCTGGGAAGCCCTGGGCTGCTGGATGACTTTTTTTTTTTTTTAATGAGAGTTTTCCTTTGATCTCAATTTTTAAATGGCAAAATGGGAGCACTTGGGCGGCTCAGTCATTGAGTGTCCAAGCCTGGATTTGGGCTTAGGTACATGATCTCGTGGCTCATGGGACCAAACCTGCTTGGAATTCTCTCTCCCCCTTTCTCTCTGCCCTTGCCCTGCTCATGCTCTGTCTCTCAAAAATAAATAAACTTAATGTTGTTGTTGTTGTTTTTAATGACATAATGAAGGATGGGTTCTCCTGGAAGGCATTCGTAGGTCCGATTTTGCCCTGGGGCCAGCGACAAGCCCCCTCCCCCGCTGCCCCCCCCACTGTGCGCTCCCAGCCCCCAGCCTCAGGTCGCCCGGCCCCAGGCTGGGTTCCCGCAGCTGGTGGGTTGACAGGCACTGCCAGAGGTGCCGGTCAGCTCCCAGCCGTGCCACATGTCTGTCTCCCCGTGTGTGCTTTTCTTCTTCAGCCGCTCCATCTGCTCATGTAGATCCCTCCCCCGCTCCCCAACCCCCAGCCCCAGGTCCTCCGGCATGCATGCTCATGAACACACACACCGCCTCTCTGCTGCGGAGACACGAGCTTCCACATACAAATGGGTTACTTCACATGCAGTGGGGACTTGGGCCGGATCAAAGGCACTCAAGTTCATGACACCCATGAATGGGTGACGAGGACAAAAGTTTCTAGAATGTTCATGCTGAAAATAACTCAGGGACCATCTAGACCAGAGTCTGGTTTATTGGAATCCACCTGATTTCACTAGCAAGATACAGTTCACTGCTCAGAAGTGTCTGTCCCACATCTACGAATAAGGAAATCACGACTCCAGGAGACTGAATTATTGTCCATGTGTGAGAACCTCTGAGCCAAGGGTGCAGAGAAGGGCAGGGGCTCACAGGAGATGTGGGGAAGCAGTGCCACGCAGGGGCGAACCAAGTACCTGTTTGGGGGTCTGGATGTCTAGATGCCTGGATTCAGGGCCCAGTGTGTCTCTGAGCCCCTCAATTGCCTTGTTCGTAGAAGGTGCCGGTGGGTTTGAAGTCCGGATTCAATGAGACGATTTCTGGAAGGCTGTCATCAGTAATTCCACAGGAAATAGTAGCCAGTGTGTGATCCTTACACCGAGTCGGCTGCTTCCATAGGCACCCCAGCCTGGCCATCCCGAAGTGCTCTTTTCCAGAGTTCATAAGTACGAGGATTCTTATCAGGGCCAGAAGTGCTGGTATGTGACTCTGCCCAGAGGAGGAAGGTGGAGAAGCGTTACTGGGGTGTGGAGTGGCCGGCCTGTAGACGTGGAGGGCCAGGCCTCTAAGGATGGCTGGAGGGAGTCAAGGTGCAGGGGAGAGTCCAAG